GGTACAGTTAATTGTAGGCCATTAGATTAGATAAATCCAACGAATCACATTCATCAAGGCTTTTCCGATATTTTCGCGCGCGTTCTCACAGTACGCGAACTGCAAGGTTAAAGTCGTCATTGGGCACCCGAATATATCAAATCATAGTGTTGTGTGTTTTATGTTCATTATTGGTGCATTATTAATCTTACTGTGGTGTATTTGAGAATTCGTGTTGGTGCCTTCCCGAGCGGTCAGTGCGACCGCACTAATAGTTAATATACACCATCCATGTTAGAAAATTCACACCAAAAAAACATGCACAAATTCGATAGCATCACCAGAACGCACCACTAGGTATGACTAAAAGCATCACACAGTGTTCAGAATACACCATTGGGGTGGTGAGTTATATGGTGTATTTTTTGGGTGTGTTGTGCGTTTTTTGGTGTATTTGTGCATTTCATTGTGGTGCTTTTTCCTAACACTATTAGTGTTTTTTGTTAACACTGTTGGTGTATACTGACAAGCGACCGATATAAATAACCACTACAATTACCATAACAACCCCCACTTACCAGGACGCGCTTAAATCTTTAAATCTTCAGAAATTAGCTGTTGCCGTTAGATTAAGCAGAATGGACGACGCTGATATGGCCGCACCGCCGCACCTAAAGCCACTGCCGCATATGAGCCTTATTCTATATACTAGTTTTTTACGCGCATTGCGCGATTGAGATAATGCCCAATGTTTTTTTTAATAAGTACTTTAAAGTATATCAAGACAGGATTATATTAGAATTGTTCATGCATAAATAATTGAAACCAAATACGGGACATAAAGGGAGAGCAAATAAAAATTAGGGCATAAAATTTTAAATATATACTAATATTGAAGAACTAATTGTTGATTGTCAAACAAGGACATTGCAAGGTAGTTTTCCACTTCAATTTGTTGTGTAATTTGAATACTCTTTTTGTAAATAAATCCCCCAAGTAGTTAATATGATTGGCTTAATTATATTTTTTTAATTTTTTAATTTTTTAAAACTATTATTATTATTATTATTATTATTATTATTATTATTATTATTATTATTATTATTATTATTATTATTATTATTATTATTATTATTATTATTATTATTAAATATATGTATACCCTTAGGTCATTTTACATGTTAATCTAAAAAGCTAATTTTTTCAAATATCTTTTTACCAACCGTTGATATAATTCGCTGGTCAAATCAGCTAATATAATCCGCTAACGCTAACCGCTAACTACTGATTGTCAAACAAGGACATTACGAGATAGTTCTCACTTCAATTTGTTGTGTGATTTGAATACTCTCTTTGTCAACAAATTCCTCAAGTAGCTAATATGATTGGCTTTATTAATTATATTTTTCTTAATTTTTTCATGGTATTAATAAAATACTTGGTAAATAAATATATAACATTATTTTGTATTATAACTTTGATATTTAATTAAAAAAAATAGTGCACAAAAAAGATAATAGACAATGTAGTAAATATAATCAATTGATGAATTTGAATGTAAAGAATTTTTACATTGGCGAAAAATAAAGACAATATAATATAATAAAATTATTTCTCTTAATTAATTTATTGATAATGAATATATATATATATATATATATATATATATATATATATATATATATATATATATATATATATATATATATATATATATATATATATATATATATATATATATAATAAAGACATTGTAGGGACAATGTAGCGAATATAATCAATTGATGAATTTGAATGTAAAGAATTTTTATATTGGAGAAAAATAAAGACAATATAACTAATTAAATTATTTCTCTTATTTAATTTATTGATAATGAATAATTTTTTTGAATAAAAACATTGTAGATACATAATTCTAAATTAAAGATCGAAATGCATATGTATTATATTTTGTTGTAACTACTAAATTATTATTATTTAATTTAATAAAACTAAAATAGAGTACTAAATATGCCAACTTTGATTGGGATGGAGTTCGAACTTCAAACTTAATACCTTTCTTATTGAAATCAATAAATAAGTTAACGGTGAACTAACAGAAATTAACGGAAAAGTTAACGGATTATCATATTCATTAAGGATAAATTAGTAAATCTTAAGAAAAAATTAAAATCTGATCAATCTGAGCCATTCATTTGATTAAAAAACTTGACCGCCATTTTTTATACCCATTACTGACAAGCGACCGATATAAATAACCACTACAATTACCATAACACCCCCCACTTACCAGGACGCGCTTAAATCTTTAAATCTTCAGAAATTAGCTGCTGCCGTTAGATTAAGCAGAATGGACAACGCTGATATGGCCGCACCGCCGCACCTAAAGCCACTGCCGCATATGAGGCTTATTTTATATATATATATATATATATATATATATATATATATATATATATATATATATATATATATATATCAACCAAAAAGGAAGTTATAATCCACAGATTTGAGAAAATTTTAATTTTGGTCATATGATTATATGGGCTTTGTTAATTTCAGCACCTGACTTTCAAAAGTGTCAATTTAGTACATTGACTATGTAATTTTTATCAATTTTGGTCACTCCGGTCAAATTACCGGCCAAATTTCGTCGGAAAATTTTAACGTTAAAATAATGATAATATTTTAGTCATTTCACATCTCTTTCGTTCTTTTCCAACGAATTCATCTTTTCCTGTGAATCCGAGGATGAGGTGCGTTACGATGCTTTCAACATTATCCAAAAAGAAAAGTATTTATTCAACATCAATTTTAGCATAATGTTGATATAGAGAAGTTTTAGAATAAATAGGCATCACAATCCGTTTTAGCATTTCGCTTTCAAAGATTTCTAGGTCCGCCGATATCTCAAGCTCCCCTTACACAAACGGTCAGATGTTTTCAACCGAAATTTTGGCCATCTGAACACTAATAAATCGCCAGCGACGGATTGGACGAATGATTTTAAATATGCTTTGGAAGGTGTGCTGCTGAGACAGATTCGTCGAAAAAAATGAATTCGCCGGAGAAGAAGGAAGAGATGTGAAATGACTAAAACACGCTCATTATTTTAACTGTTAAAATTTTCCGGTGAAATTTGGCCGGCAATTTGACCCGAGTGACTAAAATTGATAAAATTTGCATAGTCAAGGTACTAAATTGACACTTTTAAAAGTCTGGTGCTGAAATTAACAAAGCCCCTATAGTCATATCACCAAAATTGAAATTTTCTCCCACAGATTTTATAATTCCAACCAAAAGGAAATGAAGTAAGGATTTATCGCTTAAAAGCATAATACCAAAACCGGAGAAGAAGATGAAGAAAGAGGGGTTAGCAGATATGGCTCGTGTTTGGTGTAGGGTTTTTAGACGAGTCGAGCGACCACTCTTTCCTTAAAACCTTATTTGCCACCTCCCAAAAGTGCTAGGAGCATTGTGGCCTAGGCTTCCCAGGATAAAACGTACTATGGTTCGACGTTTGAGTACCCAAATGAACGAACCCGGCGAACTAGAGCACGGACAAAACACAATCGGCAAGAACGGAGTAGGAGCAGAATTTTGAGAGAAAAAAATCTATTGTGTGTGTTGTGTCTTATTCACTTTACTTGCTTGTAAATCTGCTGCCCCAACAACAAACTTATATAGGAGATTGGGGTGTAAATAGCCTTCAACAACGGCATTAAATCTAATTTTAAAATCAGATTATAACCTTCAAAAACTGACCATTTAACATGGAGATGGAATTCATATAGAATTAATTCCGTAACAGCTGAATTAATGCTCCAAAAAGTCACTGAAGCAGTACATGCAACCGTACCGTTCTGGAAGACGTGTATCGCTCGCGAACCGAACGTACCGGGAGCTATCGACCGCTTACGCGTATTGAACCGGTAGACCGGTACGTACCGCTGAGTGGAAGACCTCGGATGCACCGCGACGCTCCGGACATCTTTACAGTGTGCTCATCAGTAGCTAAGTTATGCCAGGGCCTGCCAATTTCATTTCCGAACGACATTCGTGCCCACATACACGAGTTTAAGCCTGAGTCAAGACTTTTCAAGCTCACTTTCAGTCTCACTACGAAGAACCCGAATCCACTTTGACTCGACCCAAATCGGAAGTATACCCCAATGATAATTGTACCACAAAATAACTATTTTAAATGTCATTTTAATGCTATTTTTCCAACATCATTTATATACATATCATACTAATGAAATCTCATTGGGTTAAGGAGAAGAGTGGAGTAGAAAGTTCTTGAACCAATATAAAAATATTACCTCAATTTATTGATCCCTTACTCTTTATTTTCTACTTACAACTTGAACTCAAGCAAACATGCACTATTTTCTAACTCTTGCAAACAAAACAAATTAAATTTAGGTCAACTTAAGCCTTCCTCTAGGGACGTAAAATTGCACCAGCCCACTTAGTTTTGGGCTATCCCCGCCGAGCTATCGTATCAGTTTGGGCTTATCATTTTGTTCTTTTTTTTGTCGGTTTCAAAATTTTTTTGTCATAACTCTAAAACTTCGGGCTATACTTATCAAGAAAACTCAACTAAAATTTGTAACATTTTAAAATTAACATTCTAAACTTTCAATTTTAACAAATTACCACATTTTATATTAATAAATATAAATTTAAGCATCATTTAATGAATCTAAATCTTCAATTTCAAACTTTAACTCAAAACCATAATGCAATTATGTAACAATTAATTTAAAATATAATACAAGTATGCAACATTTCTTTTATACCTAAAAATTAAAATGAAACAAGAGAATCAAACACATGTAATAATTCTTTTTTTTTTTTTAAGTTGTTTTTATAATGACACATGTTTGTTAATTTATATTAGAGTTAATACCAGCCAAGGTCCGTCGAGTTTGATGGTTTAGCCATCTATAGTCCGAAACTTTCAATTGTCTCAGTGTAGTCCTCCGACTTTAAAAATTTGACCTTTTGCGGTTCCCATGTTACTCCCGACCACTGCGACCGCCGCGATTCTGCCCGCCACGCCCGGAGCGGCCACCGCGACCAGACTGGTGGTGCGACTGCCTACCGCCGCTGTGTCCACTCGAACTGCTGCGACCAGTGCTGGTATAAAGGGCAGTGTGCGAGTTGCCGACGTCGATCGCCGAGGGATAATCGTTAACCATAATAAATTCATTGGCCTGCAAAAAATCAGATAGGTGAGCCAGCGACACCGGTGATCCCGTCGCCGTGAGTGAGGTTGCCATGGCTTTGAGCTCGGGTCGCAAGCCACGGAACACATACAGATTTTGTTCCATGAGAGACAACGGTCGTCCGGCTTGCGCAAGGGACTCCACAAGCAGCTCAGCTCGCCCTAAGTACTCCGCGGTGGTAGAATTGCCTTGCCGGAGCATTTGGAACTGCCCCAAAAGATTGAGGCAGCGAGCTTGACTAGACGAACCAAGAGCGGCGATTATGGAGCTCCAGACATCAGCCGAGGTGTTCCTACCCACTGCCAGGTGAAGAACCTCATCCGCCATTGAAGAGATGAGAAGCGAGAGGATTGCCTGATCTTGCTTCTCCCACGCCTTGTAGGCTGGATTTGGAACGACCGCGGCGGGTGCAACGGCAGAGGTGGATTCGCCGGAGTCTGGTGAGGTGATCAACGTCGGTGGACACTTGAGGCTTCCATCAACATACCCGAGCAAATCTTGGCTTCGTAGGAAGGGGATCAACTGTATATGCCAGAACAAGAAGTTCTGGGACGTTAGTTTCATCGACACATAATGATGTGCGTACGCGAGAGGATTCGCACTGACCGGAGATGGAGTTCTGGCCGATACAGTGCTCTCAGAGGATTCGGAGGCCATAGCTTGAGAGAGAAACGGTGAGAGGGGGTAATTTGCGGTGGAGGAGGAGAGAGATTATCGATACCTGACTGATACCAGATTAGAGAAATGATTTCATTCAGTTGCGATAGAATTGAAAGTACAAAGTATATCTCAAACTAAACTCTAACTACTCCTGACAATCAGGTTATACTAAGTCAGCTAGTCTAGTGTCACATAATTACAATCATATAATATAACACAATAATAATAATAATAATAATAATAATAATAATAATAATAATAATAATAATAATAATAATAATAATAATAATAATAATAATAATAATAATAATAATAATACTAACAGTGGCGACTTATATTTTTTGGGTTGAAAATATTTGAGAAAGCATAGTACACATATACTATTTTGTAAAGAATCATGATTATTTAAAAATAAAAAAGTCAAATGCATTGTTTAACTATTTGCTAAAACAACAATCAAATTATCAAAATTTTAAAAACCTATAGTTGCCAACTACGATATAGTGTGATGGTATCCTGGTTACCATTCTAAAGGGGTGGTCATAGGTTCAAATTTCGGTGATGAGGGTTTCAATTCTTTAAGTTTAAAATGTTTGAGAAATTAAAGAACAAATATTACTTTGTAAAGAATCATGAGTATTTCAAAAAAAAAAAAAAAAAAAAAAACCTCTAGTTACATATTCAAACAGTAACTTATCTCGTTTTTTTTTTTTTCCGTCAGTAAACTCCTAACTGCTACATCATATCGATTTAGCTGTTTTAGCATGACAAAGCACGCGTGTCAATGGCAAACCAATTATAAACTCTTTTTCTAAATTTTACTCATATGACCAACTGAACTATTCATGCGAACACCAATTATAAACTCTTTTTGAAGGAGGAGGAGTAGAAGAAGTACCAAACCATGAAAATAGTACGGTAATTCTTTAAAAGAAAAATAATTGTACATACAAAACATTAACATTGATGAAGATAATGCAGCAAGGTGATGAAGCCATCAGTAGATCAAAGCAAAACAGCAGCTCTCTTCTATCCTTTATAGCCAAGGGCTTTTATGTCTTTTCCTAGAGTTAGTTTAGTTAGTTATAACTGTCATAACTACTCTAGGGTTTAAATAGCAAGTCTTCTTCTTTCCTTCTTTGTAATCTTTTCTGTATGAATTCAGCTCCCTCTCATCAGCTTCCTTCTTCTGATTGTAATAAAAACACTCCACCATTTCTGAATCCAAGTATTCCAACATGGTATCAGAGCTTCACCGGACTTACGCCGCAGCAGTTGTGATGGAGCCGGCCGGTGACAGAAACCATAATCAGACAGAGCAGGCAGGAACCTCTTCGAGCCAGATCCCATCGAATCAGCACAACGATGAGTTTGAAGATCCTCTCTACTTGCACATTACTGAGAACCCTAATCTCAGTCTTGTATCACCTCCCCTAACCGAGATCAATTACAACTCCTGGAGTAGATCGATGCGCATTGCCCTGGAGGTGAAGAACAAATTCGGGTTTGTCAATGGAACAGTTCCAATTCCAGAAGCTAATGATCCAAGGCTGACAACTTGGAGAAGATGCAACCGCATTGTATGCTCTTGGATCTTGAGGTCTGTCAACCCAAGCATAGCAGAAAGTGTAATGTACTTTGACAAGGCCATAGATATCTGGAATGCGCTACAAAAGAGGTATTCTCAATCTGACCCTCATAGAATTTCTGAAATTCAGACTGAAATTTTTAGAAGTGTGCAAGGACAAATGACTGTGAATGAGTATTTCACAAAGAGTAATGCCTTATGGCAACAAATGAATGCATTGAGACCTTTGCTCCTATGTGAGTGTGTGCCTAGATGCTCCTGCACTCTAGTGAGTAGAATGCAGAAACAAAGGGAAGAGGATCAAATAATCTGATTCTTGGAAGGATTAAATGATGAGTATGAATCGATTAAATCTGGGATACTTGTTATGGATCCCATTCCAGAGATGGAAAAGGTATTGAATATGACCTTGAAGGTTGAAAGAAAGCTTAAAGTTTCAAACACCCAAAGATGCAGTGATTTTGCTCAATCCAATGCTATTCATGAAAGCCAAATCCAAATTGGGGAAGAACAACCTGTAGTAGCAGCTGCAACCTACAACAATAACAGAAAGAAATTCTCAAATAATGGGGGAAAGAATGTGCCCAAGTGCACTTATTGTAACATGCTTGGTCATACTGTTGATAAATGTTACAAGAAGCATGGATTCCCACCTGGGTGGGTAGTAGGATACAAATCCAAGAACAAGCAATCACAAGACATGCAACAACCCTCAAGTTCAGCAGTTAGTCAATTGAATGACATAGGTCTCTCAGCTGACCAGTTCCAGAAGCTGGTATCTCTTCTTCAGAATCAAAACAATGGTGGTCAAGTGTTAAGTAATGCAGCTGTGACAGTTAATACTTCTGGAATCAAATCTGATTTCAAGAGCTCTCTGGAAGGACAAAATGAAGGTAACTCTGTTCCTACAATTCATGTTAATGCTGTCCTTAATACACATTTAATATGGATATTGGACTCAGGGGCTACAGACCATATTGTGTGCTCATTGCAATTTCTTGATAAGTATCACAAGATTGAGGGATTATCTGTGAAATTACCTAATGGTGATGTTGTCAGTGTTACTCACTTAGGGGAAATCAAGCTTGATGAAAACATTTTGCTGAAAAATGTGCTGTATATCCCATCTTTTGCCTTTAACATCATATCTGCCAGTAAATTAACTAAGCAGTTTGGGTGCAAGATTATGATAGATGCTGATTCTTGTACTGTCCAGGACCACTTGGAACCATGGTTGGTTTTGCTAGAGAAAAAGATGGCTTATATCTGATCAACAGTCCTCCTGTTAAGAAGAATGTTCAACAAGTTGTTGTAGATAACCCTCAATGTAATAGTGTGACAATGGGATTGTGGCATAACAGATTAGGACACTATCCCATTAATAAGATTTTCCTTTTGAATGGAATAAAAGCTACCCCTTTACAGAAGCAATGTGATTTTGTTTGTGATGCTTGCAATTTTGCTAAACACAAGAAGTCTATTTTTCCAGTAAGCAATTCTAAAGCTGAGAACTGCTTTGATCTCATACACATGGATGTGTGGGGACCCTTTTCTGTGGCCTCCCTCAAAGGTGAACATTATTTTTTAACCATAGTTGATGATTGTAGCAGATTTACTTGGTTACATATGTTGAAAAGTAAATCTGAAGTCAAAAACATATCCCAAAATTTCTGCAACTATGTGTCTACTCAATTCTCTGCTAAAGTTAAGGTGATAAGAACAGATAATGGGACAGAATTTTTGATGAATGCCTTCTATGCTGAGAGAGGCATAATCCATCAGAAAACATGTGTGTATACCCCCCAGCAAAATGGAGTTGTAGAAAGGAAGCATCAACACATTTCAAATGTTGCTAGATCCTTGAGGTTTCAATCTGGATTGCCGCTAGAATTTTGGGGACACTGTGTGCTACATGCCTCTTACATCATCAATAGGTTACCTACTCATGTTCTTGGTGGAGACACTCCTTTTAAACTATTGACAGGAAAAGACACTGGCTATGAGCATTTTAAAAGCTTTGGATGTCTTTGTTTTGGGGCCACTATTTCCCTGGGGAGAAATAAAATGCAATCAAGAGCAAGAAAGTGTGTTTTCCTAGGGTATCCAGCAAATGTAAAAGGGTATATACTTTATGATCTTACTGACAAAGTAACCTTCATTTCCAGAGATTTCAGGTTTTATGAGCTCACATACCCCTTCACAGAAACAGAAGCTCAAAGCTCAGATGAATGTGATGCTGATAGTCCTCCACTTCCTCTAATTCCCATTTCAACTGAAATTCCACTCCCAGAGGCTTCACCTGATTCAGAAGTCCTAGAACCTGATGAAAGGTCTCCCACTCACAGAGTTACCTCAGAAATTGGTAATGAGAACAGTCCCAGAGATATAAGCCATCACATCAACAGTTATAATGACAGTACTGCCAGTGTTGATATGAGCACTGAGAGGTCTAGTGCAACAGATAATCACAATTCACAGCCTAGAAGATCAACTAGATTAAGGGTTGCTCCTCATAAGCTAAATGATTACTACTGCCACTCTATGACCACCACTGGAACAAGCAAGATATCTGCTATAGGATCATCTCCTCATCCTATACAGAAATTCTGTATATCTTCTATAGTCACACCTATGGAACCACACTCATACCATGAGGCTGTAAAGTATGATGAATGGAGAAGGGCCATGGAATCTGAGATTGATGCATTAGTTCAGACCAACACATGGATTTTTACAGATTTGCCTACAGGAAAACTTCCCATTGGATGTAGGTGGGTATACAAAATCAAACATAAGCCTGATGGTACTATAGAAAGGTATAAAGCTAGGTTGGTGGCTAAGGGGTACACTCAACAAATGGGAGTGGACTACATAGAAACATTCTCTCCTGTTGCAAGGATGACCACCATCAAGACTTTCTTGGCAGTGGCAATTGCAAGTAATTGGGATATTCAGCAACTTGACATAAATAATGCCTTTTTACATGGTGATCTAGATGAAGAAGTCTACATGGTCCTACCCCTAGGTTTCAGAAGTGATAAGCCTAATCAAGTCTGCAAGTTGCTCAGATCTCTATATGGGTTGAAGCAAGCTAGCAGGCAATGGAATGCCAAGCTAACAAAGTCATTATTAGCCTATGGTTTCCAGCAGTCATCATCAGATCCATCTTTATTCACTATGTCATCCAATAACTCCTTCCTTGCTTTGCTTGTGTATGTAGATGACATACTTGTTGCAGGAACAAACTCTGATAAGATAAAACAGCTAAAGCATATGCTAGATTCAGCTTTTAGAATCAAGGACCTTGGCCAGCTTAACTACTTTCTAGGCTTGGAAGCAGTCAGAACAAGTACAGGATTAAATCTCTGTCAAAAGAAATATGCATTGGAGATTCTAGAGGAAAATGGATTCCTAGATGCCAAGCCTGCCAAGACACCTTGTACTCCAGGGACAAGGCTTAACAGTACTGAAGGCATACCTCTTGACAATCCTGAAATGTTCAGAAGATTGGTTGGCAAATTACTCTACTTAACCAATACTAGGCCTGACATTTCATACTCTGTGCAGCAGTTGAGTCAATTTGTTGATAAGCCAAGAAACACACATTTAGTTGCAGCTCATAGGGTGTTAAGGTACATCAAGGCCACACCTGGAAAAGGACTATTCTATGCTTCCAACTCTGAACTTAAGCTACAAGGCTTTTCAGATTCAGACTGGGCTACATGCACAGAAACCAGAAAATCCATAACAGGTTTTTGCATCTATCTTGGGAAGTCTCTCATTTCTTGGAAGACTAAGAAACAAGCTACCATCTCTAGATCATCATCTGAAGTTGAATACAGAGCTTTAGCCTCTACAGTGTGTGAAATCCAGTGGCTTTTGTACCTTCTGGCAGATCTAAAAGCAAACAACAATACAGTCAGTCCCATTTCTTTGTTCTGTGATAACAAGTCTACTATAGCCATAAGTGAGAACCATGTCTTTCATGAACGTACCAAACAGCAGAACAGCAGCTCTCTTCTATCCTTTATAGCCAAGGGCTTTTATGTCTTTTCCTAGAGTTAGTTTAGTTAGTTATAACTGTCATAACTACTCTAGGGTTTAAATAGGAAGTCTTCTTCTTTCCTTCTTTGTAATCTTTTCTGTATGAATTCAGCTCCCTCTCATGAGCTTCCTTCTTCTGATTGTAATAAAAACACTCCACCATTTCTGAATCCAAGTTCTCCAACAAACATCCTTAATTTTACCTACTTCTGTGTAGTTTAAGGCTCTATTTGGCAAACCTAGCTGAAAAGCTATAAGCTAAGAGCTGAAAGCTGAAAAGCTATAAGCTCGGAGCTAAAAACTTAGGAGTTGTTAAGCTAGCTGTTATGATTGAAAGTGTTTGGTAAAATTAGCTTTTTGATAAGCTGATAAATGTAAAACAGACTAAAAAGGACATCTTCATAAAATTTAAATTAGTTTGTTTACATATTAAAATTTAACATTTTGTCAATAAAAAAAAATTAACATTTTGAAATAAAACTATTAGCATAATCATGATCTAACATCTCATAATGAAGTAGCAATATTGTTGCAAATCTCATAATAATAATAATAATAATTGCGGTGAAAATTGCGGATGAAGGAAAAGAGAAAAAAAAATTAATTGGGAAGGATAAATTATGTTATTTCTTTAAAATAATAAGGATAAAAATAAAAAATAAAAAAATAAAAAGCTAGGAGCTTATTTTGAAAACATTACCAAACAAAGTTTATAACTTATTAGTAGCTTAAAATAAGCTATAAGCTCCTAAATAAACTCTGCCCCTAATTATTATGTACCCCAGGGATCCCGGGATTCCAGGAAACACTATGGTAGACTTGTCAACCCAATAATTTACAAACGTTATTAAAGTTATATGTAAATTAAAGCATAATAATAATATATTATTATGATAAATTAGTTTATGATAAGAGTATTCAATTCAAAAAAAATATATTAAACAAATGAATTTTAAATTAAATATTAATATCTTATTACCTAATCATCATTAATAATCTCAACATATATATCAACGTTTTATAATATTCTTTTTCTCAATCTATATATGTAATTTTTTTTCAACAAATAATATTTAATTTATTTTGTCAACATCAAAAAGGAATCTGAAGGGTGTCAATGTCGAAGTTGCAACTAACTTTCTTACGTAATTAAATAGGGACAACAATTGGATTTAGATGACCATTAGAGCAAGTCATCATCATCCTCTCTCATTATGACAAGTACATATGGAGAAAATATATTTCTTTGTCGGGTATTATCTTTAATGTTGCACGATTTTAAAGAAAACGAATAAGAAGTGATATTTAAAAAAATTTACACTTTTAAAAAGAAGTGAATTTGTATTATGTTTGAAAAGCATTCAAAAAAAAAAAAAAAAAGTATTATGTTTGAAAAATTAAAAGGAATAAATGGTAAATCGGAAACAATAAAAAGGAAAAGTATGAAAAATTAAATGATATGGGGCCGGGAATTGAAACACTTGATAGAGTAAATGCATCCAACCAAAAATGTTAGTTGGTAACATTAACCACATGGTTGTGTGAGCTGATTGTATATGGAAAGTGAGTGTTTGGGAGTGCTTGTACTAAATGTCTAGAATTCCAAGAATCCAAGTGGTATCAAGAATAAAATGTTACACTTAAAATTATAGTTTATGAGTTAGAATGATGTACATTATGAGTTAAAATAATATATTTTATGTGTTAGAATGATATGCATTATGTGTTAAAATAATATACTTTGTGTTAAAATAATGTGCATCATGTGTTAGAATAATGAAACTTCTGAGGTAAGATATATAATGAACTTTATGAGTTAGAATAATTTATATTATGAGTAATAAAAATATATGTTGTAGTGAATCGCGTTAAAAAATACATAAAATGACATCGTTTTTAGACCGCGGTCACGCGACTGTGTGGACCACGGTCCACTTACAAACTATTGGTCTATAATGGATTAATGCCATTTGTCTTCTATGTTTGACTCGGTCTAGTAAGAATTCCTCGTTTTTGACTTTTTGGGCAATTGGGACACCTGTCTGGAAAGTCAATGATATTACCCATTAATGCTGTATAAACTATAACTATCGTTAGGTTCAGCAAATTATATTGTTTTGAATATTCTTACAAGTAAATTTCCTTGTTTCTTCTGTTATCATATGTTATACAAGTAACTCATGCTTACTTTTTGTCCGCTGAAAAACAAATCAGCATTTGTAAAAATTATTGATCGAGTTGTAATCTTGAAGCCAAGAGAATTAAAAACAAAATGAATATTATTATTTGCACATTCTAATTTTTACATTTTTATACAAGTTAAAGTTTGATTTGAGTAGCTATGAACAGATATTACATTGTAACAAAGTTGATAGTACTAAAAAAAAAGTTGATTTGAGTTTATCATCACAGTCATCAAATAAAACCATGTCAGTTTTGTATATAAATCTTTAAAAACTTTATAGAGTGTCTAAATAGCTTGTATTATTCAAAACAAAAACGTCCATTCTTTTTTTTTTTTCCATATAATAAGTTCAATAATCTAATTGTAATTACTTCTATTTGTTAAAAACTAACTATCCTTACATACTAAACTCGATTTTTCAATTATAGGGTGAACTGGTAAAATATTTCAATTTTTTACTCATTTTGAGTCAGGAGCTTCTATTTTCTTGAGCAATAATGTGCCAATACTCCAAAAGTAGTAAGGACTTAACAAAGAATGTTTGTCAAAAGGGTGTACTGCTTATCAGTTCACCCCATAATTGAAAAATCGAGCTTAGTATGTAAGGATAGTTAATTTTTGTACGTGCCAATGCTCCAAAAGTAGTAAGGACTTAGCAAAGAATGTTTGTCAAAATGATGTACTGCTTATTGTCTTCTGTCATAAGCTCCGCTGCTTATCTAAAAGCTCTGTTGCGTGCTTAGTCTTGAAAAGTCTTACTTCTTGTGTAGAAGTTGTGTTGCTTAAACTTCTACTAATTATAAAATCCTATTGCCCTCAAGCCCTTGATGCTTAAAATTAAACTTCTACTATTATATTGATTGAAAACCTTTTGCTTGCAAAGTCTTTTAATTATGTTGCATTGTTATAAGCCTTATGTCACCTTGTAGACTTGTGCTGCTTTAGAAAGCTCTTGATGTTCTCAAGCCTTTACTGTCTATAAAGTCTTGTTATTGATCCAATATAAAAATATTACTTCAATTTATTGATCCCTTACTCTTTATTTTTTACTTACAACTTAACTCAAGCAAACATGCACTATTTTCTAACTCTTGCAAACAAAACAAATTAAATTTAGGTCAATTAAGCCTTCCTCTAGGGATGTAAAATTGTGCCAGCCCACTCACTTTTGTGCCGCAAATTATGCTGTGCAACCGAATGCACCTTGCAAGGTGCATACGGTTGCAAAACGACGCTGTTTTGGTTAAAAAAAGTCGCGTCCCACTTAAAGAAGAAATCAGGTTCGATTCCCGGTAATAGCATTTTTATATATCCAGAAATTCATAACTATATATCCACAAATTCATAACTATATATCCACAGTGAATGAATGAAGTAAAAATCCACAATGAATGAATGAATGAAGTAAAAATCCACAATGAATGAATGAAGTAAATATCCACAATGAATGAACTAAATATCCACAATGATTGAACTAAATATCCACAATGAATGAACTAAATATCCATAAATTCATAACTATATATCCAGAAATTCATAACTATATATCCATAAATTCATAACTATATATCCACAGTGAATGAATGAAGTAAATATCTACAATGAATGAACTAAATATCCACAATGAATGAACTAAATATCCATAAATTCATAACTATATATCCACAAATTTATAACTATATATCCAGAAATTCATAACTATATATCCACAATAATGCTATTGCCGAGAATCGAACCTGAATTTTTTTTTAAAAAGTGGGACGCGCGTTTTTAGTCAAAACGACATCGTTTTGCATCGTATGCACCATGCGCATGGTACATTCGGTTGCACAGCATAACTATTGGTTTTGTGCTATCCCCGTCGGGCTGTCGTATCTGTTTGGGCTTATCGTTTTGTTTTTTGTCAGGTTCCAAATTTTTTGTCATAACTCTAAAACCTCGGGCTATACTTATCAAGAAAACTCAACTAAAATTTGTAACATTTTAAAATTAACATTCTAAACTTTCAATTTTAACAAACTACCACATTTTACATAAATAAATATAAATTTAAGCATCATTTAATGAATCTAAATCTTCAATTTCAAACTTTAACTCAAAACCATAATGCAATTTTGTAACAATTAATTTAAAATATAATATAAGTATGCAACATTTCTTTTATACCTAAAAATAGTTGTTGTTGGGAATCGAACTTGAATTTTTTTTAAGGAGAGACGCGCGTTTTTAATAAAACGACGTCGTTTTTGCATCCGTATGCACCATGCATGGTGCATACAGATGCACAGCATAATTTGCCGTGAGACTCTTACTATTTTTTTGTAATTGGGCTAACAGACCAGCTTGACAACATGATCGAGCCAACCAAACTAGCTCGATAACACATTATCTCGATTTCTTATTGGGCTAATTTTTCGGCCCTAAACTGAGAATATTATGGTCTTATCCGATCAGATATAACTTTCGAACTACGATTGACATCCATATTCATCCCAATCCCGTTTAGACTTTTTGCTTGTCCAGGACCAACACAATAATTTGATAGTAATTTTATAAAAGACAATTTTATCGGGGTCTTAAATTACTAATCATAATTACCTTGATCAAAATTTAATTTACACTTTATTTCTAATACAAAAATTACAAATAAACACACAATTTGTTTTTGTTTTTAAAGATGAAAAAAGAACAACTAAAAGGTAGTTAAAAATAAAACTTTTGACATTAATAAGTATTGGAGTGTTTAGAATGAAAATATGAATATAGTAGTTGACTAATTCTAATATCTAGTACATGGTCTTGTTTAGTTATTACTTATTATTATCAGTCCTACACGGAAATGCCCCGTAGGGGCCACGACCAAAAAAAAAAAAAATTAAATTAATTCTCTACTTGTATTTATTTAAACAAGCACGCAAAGTCGTAAAATGGCGATTTCTATTGTATATTTTTCATTCCATCGTCACAAACATTAAGGATAGATGGAGTGCAGAAAATTCGAGCTGACCCTCATATCGGCGAACCAGCTTGAAGACGTCCGGAGGCTCTTCAAGATGGAAGTGTACTGCAAGGTGAGCATCGGAAGCAACCCGCGGATGGAGAAGCGGTCGCCGGCGGACCGGCACGGCGAGATAAATCCGGCCTGGAATTTCTCCATGGAATACACCATCTTGGAGGAGATGATTCAGCACCCAAACACCATGTTCGTGATTAAGCTGTATTGTAAGCGCATGCTGGGGGACAGGTACGTCGGGGAGGTGCACGCGCCGCTGAAAGATCTCTTCGACTACGCCTACCACAGCGGCGGTAGCGCCGTCGTGACCTACCCGGTGAGGAAGGGCTGCGCGGATTCTCAAGGCGCTTTGCGGTTTTCGTATAGGTTTGGGGCCAGGATTTCGATTGAAAAGCTTCTCTTGGCGGAGACTCTTGCTGGATGGGGTATGCCCTGATGATTCCATCTATACCTGACTTAGTTTTGTAAGGTTAGATGTTATACAGGTGTAAAAATGAAAGTACATTTTTTTGGGTGACGAGAGAAATCAGAATTCACTATTCGAGAGTGTACATGGGATAAGTTTAGCTTTGTGACCTTAGTTCGTAAAGGAAACCAGCCTATGCCCATAGTTGACAATGCAACCAGAAAGGTCATTAGGCCTGTCATTAGAGTTGAACTAGTAACTTTGTAGTTATTAAATCAATAATTTGACGAACTTGATTGGTTGTCTAAAATCAAAGTTAATTTGATTTTCTGAAACAGCTTTGTGGCCATTGCTAGTGTTTTTTTTTTTTTTTTTTTCTTTGAATATGCTTGTTTTTGGAGGTGTTTCTTTTGAATTGTCTGTTACAGTAGACACAAAAGGCCCTTTTTGTGCTGGTGTTAAAACGTATTGGTTTTGTTTAAAGCTAATCATACAACATTTTGTTCCACTCTTTTATTTCTGCTACAATTGAATATATGGTAATATGTATTTTTCTCATTTTAATTTATTCTCAAACTTCTCAATTTTTCATTGTTAAATAAAGACTTCCTCCGATCCACTGTGGAAGCTCCATGCATGAACGTCCCAAGTCTTTTTAAATTATACTACTTAATTAAATAAAAAGTTATTAGTTTCTCCAATAAATATTATTTATTATTAGCTGCTAAAAGTGTTGGTGTAAATGTAATTATTAGCTCAACATGCCTAACTTTATTAGTCTCCTAAACACTTGAAAATGTTAAATAAAAAAGAATTTGAAAATTGATTCTCAATTAATATATGCCATAAAGTTTGGAAAAATAGTTTGGGTAAGTCTTGGAAATTTCTTTGCCCCACATTGAAGAAAATGTGAGTGTAGATTAATATTTAATTTTTTTTTATTTATGTATACCTTTTATCAAGTTTGAATTGTCTAGCCAGAAATTTTTGTAGTGTCAGAATGTTTAACTCCTAATAATGTTGAGAAAGTCTAAAATCTAAATTTTAGGCATATTTAAATACTTTAGACTTTCTCAACATTATTTGACCCTTATTCCTATTTATTAGTATTTATTTAAAACAAACCCGTATAATAAATAAATAAATAAATAAATAAATAAACAAAATTGTCCGATAATCTGTGCTACTAGTGATCTATTTCCTTCCACCGTGGTATGGTTTCTAATCAAAGAGGTTGGAATGATAGGTTTATGAGTCAGATGACCATTATTTGTTTTGGGCTAAGAGAAATACGTAATTACTATATAAGTATGTGCATTGTAATTGTTATATACTACACAAGAGTAATAGATCACAATAGAAAAATTTTGTGTGACAATTTGATCGAGAAAACGTTACTAAAAATCAAACTCTTAACGTTTATATACAAAAATCATACTACACTTAGTTACCTTTCAGGGTTAGACGAACATTATTATTACGACAAAGTCGAAGTCTTCAGTTCTCTCACAATGATAAATAGTCTATCCTGTTGAGCATATAACCATTAATGCATGTGTAATCCGACTATCAGTTAAGCCTTTTAGTTGAGATGGAGCACATGCTTCAAGTTGGTATCAGAGCTAGACCAAAGGTCCCTCTACGTCACCCGATAAGTACTACGGTTCACGTGTTGCTTGGAACCCACCACACACGGGCGTGCTGAGCAATTTATCCAATTCTTTCTTTCTGATCTTCCCTTATCATATGCTACTAGGCAATTTAATAATATATGCTTAGTTTTTCTCCGTTGAAAACACTTATATATTTATTTAAAAATTTGTCAAGTTGTAGCGTTGAAGAGAATTAGACAATAAAAAAATGATTCCCATTTTTATTTTCTTACAACAAGTATAACAATATCATTTTAATTATCTATGAATATACAAATATATATAATCGCAAATTTTAAGGCACCAATAATTATAATCACCAACGTAACGACAGAGCGACAAACTAACGCCACTGACAAACTGGAGCAAGGGAAAGTGACAGGCTCTCCATCTCGAAGCTTCCTTTGTATGGCCATGGAGTTTCACAATTTTCACCTTTTATGGGATAATTAATTTTTCTAAAAATTCTTAGATTATTAATTAAGCATACTAATTTAATTTAATGCACGTTTCTTGGGAATAATCTACAAATCTAATCTAAGAGCCAATAAAGTTAGGTCTTTAATGAGAACAAAAAAATTGTTGGTGTAATGATTTGTTAAAATAAATGGTTCATATTATTTTAGTTTTAGTAATTTTATTAATGATTTTCTTTATTTAATCTCTATTATATTATTTTCTTCCTTTAAATAACCCTATATACCGTTAGTATAAACTTTAGTAACGGAATATTCCGTAAACTATTTATTTTTGAAAATAAAGAAGCTAATTTATTAATCATAGCCTGAAACGTTTACAATAACAATACATGAAATAGTCAAACATTCCTTACCGTCAGACATAGAAACAACTTCCCTAGCAATGCTATAGAAAACTTGATTCGCGGACTGTTTCACAAATTTGAAGCTGAATTCTTTGGAGGAACTTAAAGCTTCTTTAAATCGAAATTTTATCAATGCATGAAAACTTCTAAAGAAATTTATAAGTTAATTAATTTTTACTAAGCTATATCATTATAACAATATCTATTGTAATCATATATTTCGAATTATTTATTATCATCCTCTGATAGCAATTGTAGCAATTGTCATTGACAAACGCCCAAAACAATTTGTTTCAACAACAAATAGAAATAAAAAATCAATGACTTCATTGTTATAGATAAAAAGTAAGTACCCCACTTTATTACTGTTATTAAATTAAATAAATTAGTAGCTTTAACCAAAATAATACATATGTATTTAATTAATTTAGAATTAAATACCAGGACTATGTGGTCTAATGGTATCTGGGTTAGACTTCCATTTGGAAGGTTGTGAGTTCGAGCCTCAGTGGAGGCGTTATTGGCTCTTTGTGTTTCAGTAGGTTAAGAAAGTATATGAACAGATACTACAATGTAATAGGGCCAATAGCATTCAAAAAAAAAAAATTTAGAATTAGATGTCTATAATGTCTTTTATTCAACAAAAATATTCGTTATAAAAAAAATTTAAAAAGATATATAATTTCATTAGTTATATTATCTTTATTTTCTACAATTCAATATTCCTTACTTTCAAATTCATTAATTAATTATATTCATTACATTGTCAATTGTTTTCTTTTTACAGGATCTTGTAATTAAATACCATAGTTATAATACAAAATATGTTACTCCCTCTGTCCCATTTTATCTGTCTTACTTACTATTCATTGGTCAAACCAACTCTTTCTTCTTTGTTTATTTTCTTTAGTATTTTTTTTTTTACTTTTTTTAAAAAATTGATTTTTTGTTTTTAATTTAATAGTACTTTTTGTGTAGTTTCTAAATATATAAATTTTGTATATTAATACTAAATTTAATATTATGAAAAATTGAATTAAAAATAACTCCACTCAAGCCTCGTTAACTGAACCAGACACATAAAATGGGACGGAGGGGAGTATATATTTATCTACCAAGCATTTTATACAAATATAATAAATATTAATATTTTATTTAATACTTTCACATGATAATCTATGACACACATCTCAGAACACATAAAACATGTATGAGAAAAAATTATCACGACCAAACATCAACATACGCTTGCAAGATAAAGAGTTCATAGTACAAATAAGATCCTAGCCATATACACAGTAAGATAAATATAAAGCTTCCTATACCACAATCTCATTGCATGACGATGCCATTTATGCTACCACCAGTAATCCAATTGCATATAACACACTATCAATAAAAAAGAAGAGGACAAGTACTGAAGATGAAGACAATGACAATGCTACCCAAAAAAGAATTAAGAAGAATTAGAGAAATTTAAATCAAAAGTAGTATTTATTTAGACTATCGTTTTTAGACTAAGTATTTAGACTAACATTATTAAAAAATTGCAAACATTTATTTTAGTGACAATTATAATCAATTTTTCATATATATTTTAAATTACTGATTTAATCTTGTATTGATATATTTTGAAGATTTAAATAAATTGTGTCTAACTTGTTTAATGAAAATGTTCATACTCAATTATGTTGATGGGTATATTAATATAACACTACCCTATATAAATGGGTTGTATTTGAGTAAAGGGAGAGATTTACTCAATTATGTTGATGGGCATATTAATATAACACTACCATATATAAATGGGTTGTATTTGAATAAAGGAAGAGATTTAATCATGCATTGATATATTGTAAATAAATTGTGTTTAACTTGTTTAATGAATATGTTCATAGTTTTTTTTGAAAGGAAAATATTTCAATAAAATCAAGCAATTAAATGTTCAATACAAGAAGGGATATTAGAAAACCAATTAAGATGACCAGTATGAGAACTAGCAGCTCTAGCCAACACGTGAGCAAGCTTATTCACTGATCGATTGATATATTGAATGGACACTGATTCAAAGTGTCGTTTAAGAGATCGGCAATACTTGAGAACGCAACCTGCATAAGAATGATCTGGTAAGTCATTATTCAGAAACTTGCATACCAACTGACAGTCTGATTTTAGAAGAATGTTATGCCAGCCTTGTTCAAGAGTCCAGGAAAGAGCTTCCTTAACAGCCAAAGCCTCTGCAAGATGAGGGTCTTTAAGACAACGAATTGGTCCACTTCTCGCTGCAATGAAACCACCATTGCTATCTTGAACTATTATGCCATAGAAACCATCTGTGCCACCAGGTGGTAGAGAGGCATCAACTTCCACCATTACTGCCAAAGAAGGTATGTTTAGAGACATATTTGAATTGCTAGGTACACCTTGATTAACATAGCCATGCATCACCACGTCTGCCCCATGCAAAGAAAGATTCTGCCAGTCATTATAATAGCCTGTAGCCATACGGGTAATCTCATCCACATGCCACAACTTCCTATTCCAAACCCACTCATTCCTCCTTTTCCAAATACTCCAGCAAATAGCAATACAACGCAGCAGCTTACTATTGTCATATTGCTTGAATAAATCTGAAAGCCATTGTTCAAAGTTAAGATCAACATGCAATGCCGTAAGATCGCAGATTCCTCCCCAAGCCCCAGTTACTTCATGACACTCTAAAAAAATATGCTTCATTGATTCTGGACAAACATGACAGATAGGACATAGAGTATCAACATTCATACCTCTATTAGCCAAAGAAACCAATGTAGGAAGGACGTTCCTAGCACATCTCCAGATGAAATTAATGAATTTTGGTGGAATCTTCAAACGCCACAATTCTTTCCAAGCTGAGAAAGAAGAATTAAGGTGGTGGTTGTTATCATTCAG